TAAATTTGAGGAGCATTTTAAGAAAAAGAAAGCTCTAGTGCTCAGAAAGGGAGCTTATGCTTTCCCCTGCCTCCCCAGCACAGTATTTTTCTTCAGGGTAGTTTGCTCAGTGTCATGACTCTCAGAATCCCTGGGCAGAATGTGTAAAAGCAGTGACAAGTGAAAAAATTGCCCTACATCACCCACACAGGGAAAATCAATACTAGCCAAACTGTGCTATTTCTTGCTCTCATTTCAGTGGTTTCTAATTTCTTCTTTCATTCCTCTTTAAAATAAAACTGCAGATGCTTTTATATTGTTTTAGGGGAGGTGGTTGCTTTCTGTAATGTCCTTTGTTATTTCCACATACACTTTTTATGTTAATTGCATTTCCATCCCTATAACTTAGACATGCTGCCCTCTTGTTTTGTTGTTGTAGTAGTAAAAACAGTAGAAATATCTGTCATGTCCATTCTAATTTTTCTGACAGAGATGAATTAGAACCAAGAGAAATTATTTAAAATGTACACAAATCATTGTACAATCTTGATGTTAGCTGACAGATTTTTATTTCATTTTCAGTATTGAAAAAAAACACAGTATTTACTTTACTTCTTCAGCTACTGCAAAAGTATCTGTGGCCAGCAGTATAAAACTACATGCTTGATACATGTTTCACATAGCTTTTTCAAATGCATAAATTTTATCATTATTTCAAATGTTGATGTTTAACAAATGTCAGTGAACCTGGCAAAATCCAAGAGCTTTTACGCTCAGCTTTCCCAGACGGAAGAAAAACAGTAGGGCTTTAGTTCCTAACATTGCTTTTCTGTTGTGTTTTTTCCTTTCCTGTTGGTTATCTAATTATGGGTGTTTTCTTTGTGTATGTATGTTAAGTGGAACATGATCTTGATCAGATCGACTATATTGATAGCTGTGCGACAGAAGAGGAGGAGGAAGAGGTGAGGCAGCCCAAGTGCATGGATTCAGACAGCCTCAGCTCACAATTCATGGCATACATTGACCAGCGGCGAATCTCCAATGAGGTGGTGCTTTTACTTAAATTAATTACATTCGTATGCCCCAGGAAAGCCTTTGTGATAGTATTAATTCTTCTTGTCCTCAGAGGTTTTCTGGTTGGTTTTGGTTTTGTTTTGGTTTTCTTGGGTGGGGGGGGT